TAACTTCTGTGGCATTAATTAAAATTAACGCAAACTGAATTAAAATATAATTAAATATACGATCACATCGAATCCTACAGAATTTCTTTATATATTTTATACCACAATTTTGTATCTCATTTAGTTTTTGCCCTTGTTAGAAACATGGCGCTTTTATCTAACTAAAGAAATGCAAATGCCGCATTGGGCATTATTATTAATATTACTCTTAAATAAATAAAAAAATTTTCAACAGCTTTTATCAGCTACTCTGAAGTATTTTGTCCTAGTGTGCTTGAACGATAACAGTTTCTACCACTTCTGCTGCGGCTGTTGCTTTGCATTAACATTAGATTGAGAAAAACTTAATGTTATTTCTTAAACGTTGCGCGATTGGCAAATGTTGCGTTGTTGGCAAATATTGTATTATTTTATAAAAACAAGAGTTCTCTAGTCAGAAATGCTTTATTCTACCTGTTACATAGTTGCCTACAACTATTACATTGTTTTTGCCCATCTCACATAGGTTCAGTGTGTAAAAAATAAACACTAATAGAGTAAATAAATTACTAAAACATGGCTAATCAATGGCAGAGGCGCACGCACAAAACTACTCGCAATTCGATTAGTAAAACCGACGCTGCCAAACTGTCAGCGGCAATTTCCACATAGCTCACACATTTTGAGCGTCAGTTGTAATTACGAGCAATCGGGGCGGGGCCAGCAACAGCTAGAGAAACAAGAGCTGCCAGGAGCTGGGGCTGGCTGGTAGATTTGAAGGTAGCTGGCCGTTGCCTGGTAAAGTGCATTCAAATTGGCTTAAACTAAGACTGTTAAGCGTGCAGCTGTCTAATTGTATTTGGCCCCATCTCCGTTGAGAGCAACCCTTTGGCCCGGCCCGAAAGTAATGCGAAAGTGCCAGCAACTTCAAGATTTATTAGCATCAAGATTAAAGCATTAAAAATTTGCAGACTGCGTGGCACACGAACCTCGAACCAGCAGCAGGCAGCTACCCAAAAGAAAGTACCACGCCCCGAGCTACTGGAGAAAGTGAGTGCAATTTTCGCTGGGCTACATCATCAATTTAGAGTCGTTGCTGCTGCTGCTGTTGTTGCGGTTGCTGCTGTTGACTGTTTCCGCCGGAAGCATGGCGCGAACAACAACAACAACTACATTGCAATGCGCACTTTGGCGGTCAAAACTTTCAACATTAGCACTTAATTTACTGGCGCTACTTAATGAAGTCTACACTTGGCTAATTTACGCGAAACGCGTTTGCCTTCCACTTATGCGTGTTCAAGTGTGTGTGTGGGAGCGTATGTAGCTCCTATCCCGAGTACTATGTCGTATACCGACATTTTGGCAAAACTTTTCACATATTCTGCGTTCAGGCACACTTCAATCACTTTACATTCTTGGCAAAAAAAGAGAAATTAAAACTTTCACATGCATTGTTATAGTCAAGGCATTAGCGGCATTTTAGAAGTTTTCTCCAAGGTACCCTGCACTCTAATGAAATTTACATTAGCACAATTTATATATACTTGAAAGTTGGTTGTACTTTTCATATTTATAATTATCAAACACAATTTGGCTCGGGCTCACTGTGCTGGGATTTTCCCGGCTCTGCTAATATGTTGCATTGATATACATAATATTAAGTTTCACCTGAAGCAAAGATTTATACCATAAACTAATTGGAGATATATTCTTCATTTAGATCAGAGCCACTTGGTGCAGAGGAACGGCTCGAAAAATGCTTGAATAACTATTTTTGCGAGCTTTACTTAACTTCTAGCATGTATGCTTAACCGTATCAAATTAGTATAATGTATCAGACGGAATGACTGGGTAAGAAAGACAGATTATCTTACCAAGAAACCACATGAGATCATTATGAATAGTTATATGGTATTCATGTTTTTTTTTTTTTTGTAAAAATATGTATCGCAAATATTTTTTATTTGCAATTGAAAAACTCATTTGCATTTAATTGCGATAAGGAACACATAATAATAATAATTTATGCGTCAGTACCTTCAGCAACGATTTAAGTCACAATATCGTTCAGTTCTTCTAGTGTGTTGCTTGAAATCGGTTCGGTTACTCAAAGCGCGCTCTGTGAAATGTGTCTCAGGTGCTCGAGCAGAAACGCACGCCTGGGAATTGCGGTGCTCTCCCTGATCGTTTCAATGGTTGTCATTGTATTCGTGGAGGGTCTGCAACACAAGCAGGGTAAATGTGCTAAGCCCTTGCCTAGACTGATAACAAATTAACAAGATTAGGAAATTACAGATCAGCTGTTTGTGAATCATATATGTCTGCTGCAGGTTTTTGCCAGCTTGCTGCTATTTGTGGGTTCCATTAAAGTGAGTTGGATATCAATTTTTATTTCCATGAAATATGTTTTCTTAAAAATTGCGCCTTTTTTTTCGCAGTGTAATCGCTGGTACTTTACGCCTTGGCTGCTTATCGCTGCTGTTTTTGTATATGCTTTGGTCTATAAAAGTCTATACTATTGGTTCCACATTCTGTGCGATACGAAACGTTCCCTACTGATCATTTCGTTGCTTTACATCATATCAGGTGGGCTTGACTACAAATGTTTTCTTTTTTACCTTGTCTCCATTAAAAAGAATTAGAAGCAATTCCCCATTTGACAGTATAGTCGACAATGTCATATAGATCTGTTACTGGTTATTATTTTCCGTATATTAAAGAGCGTCGATCTTAGAAGACTTTATCAAATTTTGAATGTAACCCAAATGCAGATAATTTAATTTTCGCTATACGTCTGTCTGAATCATCTGAAGTTTTTATAGAAATAGGAAAATAAATGCAGCATTTATTTAAAAAATTATAATTTTAAATGTGGAAATTACGTTTAAATCTATTTGGAGTTGGGTACATGGTATCTGCCAGTCGGGCATACTCGAGTGGAGCACTTTTAGCACGCAATAAATTATTATATGTACAATATTTGTTTAGGTTTCTGGTGCTATTTTATAAACGCCGTCTTGCAGGATTTTCAAGAAATGAAACGAAACAGCAAGACAAATGCTCATAAATTTATGTATAATCAGATTATTGAAGTTATTTAAAATATAAAGCTGCATTCAATATCAAATGCCAAACCTCGTTCACTAATGGTAGGCTCTGGAAGGGGGGTGGGGGGGTAAGTTATAAGGGGAGGCCACAAAGTTGACGCCTGGCAGTCAAAGCCGAAGGGAATCGCTGCCAACTGCTAAGTGTGAAATGCAATTGAGCTGGAAAAGAACACGCAATGCGACGTCGACGTCGACGCTTGTGCAAATTAGTGTGAACATTGCGGTTGCCAGCATGAGTGTGTGTGTTTGTGTGTGTGAGTGAGTGTGTAACCGGAAGCGTAGCCAAAACTAAAATAAGCGTTAAAATGTCTGCTAAAGAAGTGGAGCCCAGCACCAATCGCAGTATCAGCTGCGGCTGTGGCAGGCACGCGTCTGCGGGGTTGCGGTGTATGTGGCACGTTGCATGCGTATTGCATTACCAGTGTATAGCCACACACACCTACACACCCACAGACTCACCCATACACACGCAGGCAGGCATGCATGCACCAAAGTGGCATATGAATAGATACATGCGTTGTTGTTTGTTTGTCTCCCACTGTCTGTGTGTTTGTCTAACCGTGGCTGAGTTGTCGTAATCCAACGAGCAGACAGGTTAAATACACCGCAAGGACAGGCCACACACACACATAAACACAACCTGAAAAAAAATGGCCAAAACGAGTTAGGATAAAGTGGCAACGCGGCCCGACAAGGCGGCAAACATGTGCTGCGTGTTGCTGCAACTGTCGCAACAACGCAGCTTCACCAAGGACCTGCGTGTGGGCAGGGTCGTGCAGATAGGGGTGTTGAGGGGGGGCAGCAACTAAGCCAGACGCAGCTAGCAAACAATAATAATGCAACAATAGTGTGTGCCGCAAACAAATTGCTTTTGTGTGTCTGGCTGTGTGTGCGCGTGAAAGTGTGCGTGTGTGCTGTTCATCGGGTTCACTTGCAGATTAGTTTTGTTGTGAATTTTTATTTGCGTTTTCACACACACACACACACACACACACATACACTGCGGCACACAGGCGTAGCTTTCGCAAACTTGTGGAGGGGTTGCAATTAGCTGAGCAAAAACTCACACAAAACTTGCCCAAATCCAGCTGCGGGCAAAACTTCCGTTCGCTAAATAGCAGTCTGGCAGCTGCGAAGCCCCCTCCATGGCGGCGCTACTGTGTGCTCGGCTGTCTGCCCTCTGAGCTTTTGTTGTCTGCGAAGTTTGGCTTTGACACAACATTGCCACCTGGACGCCCAACCCACAGTTGCTACTCAAAACACAAAATCCATTCATTCAAACGTGTTCAGCTGAATTGAAAATTAATTATAAATTTGATGGCAACACGGCAAAAACTGTCTGCCACAACGACAATTCTGCCCAAGTGCTACACACTACACTGGCCAAACGAAGGTGTCAACAACTCTGGTAGCAGTTGACACCTCTGCCTCCAGCTCCGGCGATTCTGCTGAAATTTAATGCGACTGCCACGTCCTGTAAGAGTTTCCAATACAAAAAATTCATTAAAAAACCAGTGTGAAATGAAAAACCCAAATTGAATTGCCCAAAAATTTGTTTGCAGAGCGTCGAAGCCACACAAAGGTGCGAACTACTTGTGAAACGCGGGGCGAGGTGGGTGGTCAGCGATGGGGTCCGGCTGTTAACCCTCTTGACAAGCAGAGGCCTCTGGAGAAGTGGGCCATAATAAGTAAAACATGTTTTGTTTCGCATGAGTGTTGCACAAAAAGGACACCTCAGCCCATTTTATGAGCGCCGCCGTTTTCTTTGTGCGTGGAATTAACTCGGAGCTGTAAATTTATATAAAAAAAAGTGTTGAATTTAACAGCCGTTAAAAAGCTGCTCGTTGGGGTCAGAGACTGAAAGCAATTTACACAAAATGGCAGACGAATGAAATAAAATTCAATAAAATGTTGGGCAAGTATTTGAAAGGACTGTGAAAACAAACGAAGCTTTGCTACCCACACGATGAACAATAGGCTGGTGCTGAAACTAATAAATTTTGTCAAATTCAACAAATCACACATACTTACTCGTATTTCTAGCTAAGCATACACACACACATACACATACACATACACACATTGAAACGTTGGCGGAAATCATTTAAGCTGCCAAATCAGCCAAGCAGCTGGGCCAAAGCTGGCGTCAAGCTGAAGGTATTATTAAGGTAGTGACTGCGGCTGAGGCTGTGGCAGCGGCAGCAGAATGGCCAGATGCCGGGGCAAAAAAGGCGATTAATATTCATTCAGTGTCGCGCGTATATCACTTTTTATTTGCACAGCCAACGAGCGCGCGCCGGCAAGTATGCAATGGAATTCGCCGCACGCAGCAGCAGGTGAGCCAGCCAGCATGTGTGTGTGCGTGTGTTGCGCGTGTTGATGTGTATGAGTAACGCACAATTACATACAACAATTTGTGCTTTGTTTCTGTGCACGTCCGTGTGACTAGCCACCGTACCCAGCTCCCAAATCGCCAAAGAGCAATCGTGCAGCAACAGACCAGACCAAACCCCAACAGAACCAAAGCGGACCAGCACAAGAGCCGACTCGGTCTTTGCGTGTATGTTTGCGATTGTGTGTGTGTGTGTGTGTCTGTGTGTGTGTGAAAATCTCTTCGCTTTTGGACGCCCGCTTCCCCAAGGAGACGAGCACTTCAAATTGGATGCCCAAACATCAAGTCAGCGTGCTGCGAGTCTGCCAAGACGAAAGCACTTGCAGATGCAATTTCGCAGCCTTTCGATGCCCGTTGCTCTATGCCCGATGCTAGAGCATTTTTCGGTTTCTATGTGAAAATTGAGAAAAATTGCCAAACGACTTGGTAAGCGATATTCTGTTTTGACAAGCTAACACACTGCCAAGCTGCCAAGCGCCATTGTGCAACGCTCAAGTGGGCCAGGGCCAACAGCAACCAGAGTTGGTCTGCTGCCAGGTGTGGCAGCTGCATAGCTGTTGAGCTTGTCGAGCTGCTGCTCCTGCTGCTGCTGCTGTTGCACAGCCTTTTGGCACTTATTGTTAGTTTAGTTAGGTTTTTCTTTTTTTTGACAACTTTAGACACTGCCAGCAAGTCACAAAGGCAGAAACGATGTTGCGTCAAATCAAATGAAATTCGACTGCTGTCCAGCGTGTTGCGTTACAGTTGAAATGTGGGCGGGCCAATGGGCACGGCCCACAAAATTACCACTGGGATCAGAGCAAATGACGCGAAACAGTCACACGAGCAGGACCAAAGCAGAGAGTGAGCGAGAGATTGTGGGCGGTAAAGCGAGTAGCAGCAACAACAAAAACATGCCTTACATAACAAGTAACGGGTACTCCAGTTGATATTGGCCGACTAGAAGATGCCCTGTACTTATGTGCGCATAAAGATCAAGGCTATGCTATCATACATTTGCTGCCTCTAGCACAGGTAAACCTTAGCTGTCGAATTGTTTCATAGTTTGAATAGGAGAAGCTACACTCCAATTTGAAGTCTCTAGATCTAAGAGTTCATATTAAGTGATCAACAGACTCCAGCATATATAATATTTAAACTTATATGTAGTCTGTTATGTACAATTGCTCTGCAACAAGATACCCTTTCCATTTTCACTCTGTTCAGGGTATAAAAATCGTGCAGGCCATGCTAAACGTTTATCCCTTTTAGCCCCCAGTAAGGAGAAGAGCCAGGCCAACAATGGACGTCTTCAGTTTCAATGGCCCGTTTAGCTACTGCTGCCTGCTTTGCTGCTGGCTCGTAAGCTGAGACTGATTGTGGGGCCGTTGTAAGTCGTATCCAGATAAATGCCGCATCATTGGTTATTTATATGCGTGCATCGCAGCGGGGCACAGTGGCTCAAGCTGCTGTGCCAGCCACCTGGCCCTTATCCAACTCTTACCTGAGCTCAAACGATATATTTATTTGATTTCATTGATGAATGTACGTAACCGCTTGGAAGTATTTTCGTCATGGCTACCGCTCCAGTGGCTTATGTCGTCTCCTTAACCTAACTTGCCCCGGCAATGTGCATAGTTTCAGTTTTGATGGCTGGCAAAACAATATGAACGCACAACAGTCTGTTGAGACACGCGCAATACGTAATTGAAGCTGCCTGAAAGTCGTGTGTGTGTGTGGGAGTTTGTGGCGAAATTAATTAAATGGCATTCAAATGATTGGCTACGTGCCATTATTAATTTGCGCATAAATTATGCACATGTCTTAATGCCTAATGATTTCCTTTTTATGGCCAATCACTCGACTTGGCCACAAATTAATCAGCCAGCGTTTCCCCATTCAAACTGCATGAAAATACTCGTAAATATTTAAATGCCGCACGTTTTCCATTTGCTCGATTTGTGTGTGTTGCTCAGAGGAACGGGTTGCTTTGATTTATAGAAATTGATTTGCGTGCCACAAAACGCGCTGCGCAATTTATATTTCCGTTCAGTAATTCGTCACAATAATTATCATAAAAATATTTTAAATCACAGAGTTTCATTTTATGTTCTAATTGAACAATTTCAACAAATATTTAATGTTAAGAAATATTTGCATAAATTTATTAATTAAACATTGAGTGGGAATGCTGCAATTGGATGCAATTGACAACGCGATAATCCTTAAGAGTCATATTAAACAACTCAAAACAGGCTGCTCGCAAAAATATACTCGTAGTTTTTATAAATGTTTTGAATAGACGGTGTATTTATTAAAAAGATAAGTCAAAATTGGTTGTATAATGACAGATAAAGAATACTCCGTGGTTTTATTTGAATTAAGTGTTATCTGATAACCCTAAAAACTTGTATGACATTTCTTGGATCACATTTCTTGGCTTATAAAAAGAATCATCATACCTATACTTCAGCTCTTGCTGACCTTAAACAAAGATCTGTTTCAGTCCATCTTGCAGTCCGTATTAAAAATTTATTGCCCATAGATCTGATGCTGAGAGCTTGTCACTTAGCCCTGCGGTCATCAGTATAGTCTTTTGTTTTCCAATTTATTTTTGCCCGTTGCTCGATTAGTTCGTAGTGCTCATTGCCATATGGACATGGGCAGGGTTAGCCTGACAGTGTGAGGTTTTGGCTAAGGATTTATGTGCTGTGCACTAGATTTATGTGCTTTTTCGTTGTGAAATTGAGAGTGCGCGTGTGAAAGCAACTGAGCAACTGTGCTAATTGAGTAGAGGAATGAATGTGGCTCCAGCAGCGGAGGGCAAAAGGAGTTCTTTAGCTACATGTTGAGGGGAGGCATTACGTTTTCAGTGTAAACATAAGCCTTTGGATTGGCCAACATGCAATGCCAGCAGTAAACAGCTCGCAGTCCGTATTTGATGCAGGAACATATTCTGCCAGTGCCTTAACAGTGGCCAATTGAAGTTAACAGCTGGCGGTGCCAAACGCCTGCGCGCTGCAACGTAAACAAATGTTAACCAAAAAGCCGGCAAGTGTACCCAGTAACATGGCCCAAACACGGCCAGCGTTGCCAGCTGCGAGAGTGAAAAAAAAAAATACTGGTTTGTTGTCTTCGACATGCAGCCGAATGCGGGAGAACGAAAGCCCGACGAAGTGACTTACGAATGCGAAACGTTCGGCAATGGCAACTTGAACGTCGACAACGGCAACGGCAGCAGCAGAAACCAGAAACAGTTTCAGTTTGTACTGCAAACGCGTTTCGAACGGTTGCATGTTGCATGTGGCGTGTGGATGAAAACCAGAATTAACTCGTATTAGCCAAATACAAGTAGAATATAAAAAATAAGAAATACATCAGTATAAAATACGACATGTGCTTAATGCAAATAAATTGTGACTGTGTGTGTTTGTGTATGTGCAGTAACTAGAATTAAAAAGAAAATTAATTGTTTTGACAGTTGTCGATTGTGAACTGCAAAAATTGTGAATTGCATGCCAGCGGCACGCACACAAGGTGAATATATACAAATACAAACAGCATCAGCTAAAACTCACATATGCACATAAATATATATACACATATATATATATATCGAAGTTAAGTTTTTGAGTGTGTGTGCCACAACCTGAAATTTAGTTTGACTCGTTGTGTGCAACATCAAGTGTCCCTTGTTTGGGCTTTTTTTTTTTTTTTGAAATTTTTATATATGCATCAACTGGCAAACTGGCAGCGTCAGCTCCTCAGCTCTTAAGTATTCATGGGTCTGTACTCGATACTGCGTCTTGTACATGTTTGCATTTGCCAGCACAGCTCGTTTTATTTTTTTTTTATGTCTTGTTCGCCATTTCATGAACTCAAAGTCGTTTGCATTTGGCTGACCAGTTGGACCAGCTCTTGGCAGCGCTTGACTCTTGACTCGCTTGCAACATAACAGATCTCTCGCTCTCTTGTTATTGGCCATCATTTGTGCGAATTCTCAGGCTAATTGCAAATAAATTCCAATTGCTATGCGAACATAAAAGTAGCTCAGCGTAGGGCAAGCGCAAGCTTGTGAAAACTTAAGCTCATGGCAATGAAAAAGCGCAACAAAAAATGCATAACATAAATTCTATTTGCATAAAACATAATTGTTATTGCCACTTAGCAGCGGGCTAAGCCCAGCTGAAATGCAACAAAAAATAAAGCTAAAGCAAAAAAAAATGCAGAGTCTGCAAGCACAACCAGCGGCAGCACCTGGCTTGTGCCGGAACGTGGCCCAACAATAACCAGAAAGCAACGCAGAAAACGGCCAAAATGCAAGCCAGACAAAAAACAAAACCGGGCAGCGCATCGCATCGCGAGGTCATTTTCCATTGCCCTTGCTCTGCCTCTATCCCCCTGAAGCCCTGCTCGACCCGCACCTTTTCGCGGCTGCGACAAAGAACTTCAAAAGCATTTCAGGCTGCGCAAAACTTCGCATCGTCTGTTTTTGGTCATTATGAAAAGAAAATATGCGGCAGTAACTGCGACAGCGGCACAGCTCAAAAGACCCAAAAAACATTGAACGGGCAAAAACTGAGCCAGAGTAAAATTACAACGAAAACAAAAAAAAAATAGCAAGAAAATAGCCAAAACAACCAACTATCGCGGCATGCTCAAAGCATTTAAGCGCCTTTGACACCCAGCCGGCAGTTGGAGCAGGAGCAGAAGCGGCAATCAGGCCAGCCTGGAGCTTAGCAGCGAGCTCCAGGTGCGGGCAATTTGGCGCGCATTTTGCATGTGCGACAGCTGCCAATCAACGGCTTCGCTTTTTGGCCATCGCATGTCAGGTTACAGCCAACAAAAACAATGCCGATTCCAATATTCTGTACGATAAAGAAAAAAGCGAACAAAAAAGTTGTTCTAAATTCTTGTCAAATTGTAGTAATTGTGCGATAATAGGACAAAGTTATTTGCATAAATAAGCAACTGGTTTTTAGCCTCAAAAAAAAAAATAAAAAATAAAAATAAAAGAAATATTTTATTCGGCAGGTCGATGATTAAATACTCTCGAAAAAGATGACCCTATACAAAGTGTTTATTTCTGATCATTAATGGCCCATAAGTTTTAGAACAGCTTGGTAGATATGCTTAAGACAGAGTGAAGATTGTAACTGATCAAGTTATTGTCCAAATACTTTGAAAAGACAACAAAATAACTTATAACAACTAAGTTTCCAAAGTTAGCTATATGAAATTTTATACCAACCCGGCTGACTGCGATATGGAGCACATGTAAGCGGACCCAAGCAAAGACCAATTTTAGTATTTAACATTTTGTGACATGAAGTAATAATGTACGAGGCAAAAGTCCATGTGCTCTTTCTCCCGTCAACTACTTGAGTGGGTAAATTGCCCAAGACATATCCACTTATAATAATAACTTCACATTCAATTATTGGGCAGTCAGTGGGGCAACAAAGACATTTGCTGATCATTAAATGAATGAAGCAATTACTTTCTTATTACTGCATATTTGATTTAGGTGAAACAACAATTTCAATTGTTGCAACTTCAACAAAAGTATGTTTATTAATGTTCACCATGCATTTTTATGCACTGTTAGAGACTATTTTAATAATGTGTCTAGACGCATAGTTCCTCTGATTGCATAAAGTATTTAATGTGTTGTCGGAACGATCTGTCAAATCGTTTCTACGTCCTATGAAAACATTTTATAGTTCTTTTAATTTTTTCCTTTATTATTTAGTTACTTGCCAAGCAATTAATTACTGTGCTGATACATATGTACATATTTTGGAGCTAATCAGCTCGGATACTGGTATTTATAGCTACAATGGCAACGATAACTATTAAAAACATAATGTTGGTGAAGAGCATTCATATTTTATAATGTGAAATATTGGTCGAAATGTTTTTGTTTTTTATTACGGCTAAATTTAATTCGCTTCTGCCGCAAAACGCTAAAATTAGGTAGTGTGTATCTCCACTGAATCTTAAATTGCCCAAAAGTTTAATATAAGTACGAACTTTTCTGTTGTAAACAAAAATTTTGTGCTATGACCGCAATTAATCAAAAGTCAAATATTAAATGTTCTATTGCACCAAAATAGTTAAACTATAATAAGCCTGCAGTCGGAGCTTATCGATTCCTATTTCTGGTCAAGTTAATGTTTTCATTGCGTTTGCCGGAAATGCCGTGTCCCGTTTTTGCCTCCAACACCAAAAAAGAAAAGCCAAATTACGCCTAATGGTTTTTTAATTGTAACAATAATTGCTGTCGCCATTGCATGAACAAAAGAAAAAAATGAAAGCCAAAAAAAAAAAAAAAAACAATAAAAAGTACGGCACGCCGAAGATCATATACCCTCGCAGATATATTTGCTTTTATGCAAACACTTTGTTGCCGTTCAAATATTCCACTATAGTATGGAATCCGGTCTTTTAGATGTATAAGAGAAATCTTGAGAGAACCATTTTCCATACAAGCCAATTTTCGACAAATTCTTTCGATATGATAAAAGTCCCATGTTGAAAATGTATTAACAAGAAGTGAATTTTCGAGCGATCAATTGCATGGCAACTATTTGATATAAAGTTTCGATACAGCCAATGCCGAGATAATGATACAGATCAGGAATATCTATGGTTTATAAGTACGAAGCTGTCCCTTTCTGTGCCTTACACAATTCATGACAAAATTAAAATACCCTCGCCAAGTGTATAAAAGGCCGGTAACATCGTCGCTATTAATGAATGCTCTGCGCAAGTGTTTAGATGACTGTGAATTGACCAGCGACCGGACAAATGGAAGAGGAAAAAAAACGAATTCCTTGGCAAAGCTCGACACATAATCGCTCATTTGGGCCGTGTGTGTTGTATTTGTTGTTGTTGTTGTTGTTGTTGTGCGTGTCTATAATTAAGCCTAAAAGTGCTGGCCTATGCCTTTTTTATGAGCCAACTGTCCCAACAGCGTGCAGAAGCCTAGCAACTTGCTGACTTTCTATGCTAAAATCTCGCTTTGTTATTTTATTATTTTCTTTTTTTTTGTTGCTTAAGGCCAAAACTCGCCTTTTGTGGCACGGAGTCCAGTTGATTATGAGCATTTTATGTAGCTTGTTGCTGGTTGGTTTTGTTGTTGTTTTTGTTGGCATTTGGCAAGTTGCACAGTTTTTGGTTTGCTGGCATCGCACACTTTTCTAGCATACTCTTGTGCGTTCTGCGGTCTCTAATGTGCGCCATTTTGGTTTTAAGCGCATGTATGCGTGTGTGCGAACGGCTTCTGTTTCTTTGTTGCCGCATTTGCCCAGAGGTCATTACAGACGCCTCGCCCGTTGTTCAAATGCCGTGCTGCCGCCAACTTCCGCTGAATCTGCTGCCTCGGAGCCTCTGGCTTTTGCCTCTGGCCTCTAAAGTGGCAATTTGTCTAGTTTTGTAAGCGCCTCTTTTAACGATAATGATGATTGCGCTTTGTTGCGTTTTTATTTCACTGCACAGACACACACACGCACACACTCAAACTCAAACTCACTCAAACGCACGACCCGCCGCACACACATAGAGACAGTCGCACATGCGGATCCAATGTGGTCAAGCGCTCAAATAACCTGAAACCGAGTCCATTTTCATGGCTCAAACTTTTTTTTTGCTTTCATTTTGCGGACACATTTGTTCTGTTTGTCTCTTTGGCAGTGTTATTTGCTTAGAATTTTCCGATTTTCATTCATACAATGTAGGCGCGCTCCGCCCACCCAATGCAAATGTCAGTTCATTCCGTTTGTGAGTGGTCTAGTTCAGACAGTAGCTATTTTTACTTTTTATACACTCGCAAAAGGTATTTTTTATTTTGTCACAATGTGTGTAAAGCATAAAAGGTATTTCCGAATCTAGAAAGCATATCATTCATGGCCAGTATTCATAGTTGAGTAGATATAACCATGTCCGCCAGTCTGTTTTAAATCTATCGTCGTGAAATCGTGCGTAGATCCAGCTTTTAATTGCAGGCAACACATGTCAGAGTTGATCCGATCTAAGCTCTATATCATATAGCTGACATAGGAAAAAGAACAGATTTGAAAATGAGTTATTGTATGGAAGTCTTTTTTTTTTTGTCCATATAATATCTTCACTAATCTTGGCATTTTCGAGTTCATTGTCATATCAGCGACGACTCCTATGAGCACCGCAAAACTATATCTTAAAGCTTCGTATTATATAGCTTATACAGGAACAATCGGCTGAAAATAAAGCGAATGCATAGATGCACTGCCAATTCATGTTTCTATAAGGGCATTTAATCTGCGGCATGTTGTTCTCTCTGGTTGTTTCTATTTCAGTATTGTCCGTCAACGTCTGTCGCTGGGCTAAGGTCCTGTTTTTCTTTTTTCGGACTCTTTTGCTGCCGTGTCGTCGCCATTGTTAATTTTTATGTACGGTTATTTTCGCATTTGCTTTATTGGCCATGTCCACGGTCTACTGTCTAGACAATTTGCGTGGCAGCTCGCGTGGCCACTCGTAATGCCAATAATTTTCCG